GATCTTAACCGTGACGGGGCAAAGTGGCATTTCCTAGTCCACGCCTTACCTCCACTTGCACATGTTGTTTTCTTTGCTTCCACATGACGGTTTTGGGATGCTTACTTGTGCATACCGTACGCTTATTTCTAGGTCTCGGTCAGCCTTGAGTACAGCTAATTTCGCATCAGCTGCCTATGCAACCCATCGGTCTCCGTCGACCCTGCCTACAGCTTCCAAGCCTTCGTTACAGTCGATGCCTTCCGTGTCGGCAATCTCCGCCTCCCCCCTAACTTGTCCAACCCAAGGTTCTTTGAATCTGGTTCGTTATCTTAAGGACACCAGTGCTTCTCATCTAACCATACCTACATTTTCGATAAAAGGAAAACACCTAGAGAATACGAAATCTCGAGCAAAATCGCATGAAACTTTCGCAACCTTCTTCGCGGGTGCAAAACGTAAGGTGTGATGCAGCTGCTGATGATGATGCAATGCCAAAGTTCCTTTTGCATAATTTTTTAGTTGAATTTTCATTTTACCTGAATTATTTGTCCAGATGCTGTCACGGGAACCTCAGATTGGGCGTGGGCCGGACGTAGGCATAAGAGGTGATCATTTGATCGACTTGGGTCCGGTTTCGGCAATGAACTTGAAGCTAGACGCGAGGCCCACTGTTCTGCCTTCACGAGATGCCGCTCGTCGGCGGGCTGAAGTCCTCGTTCAGACCAAGGGCGGGGTCAGCGCTCTTTACCAGTCTGTACGGGAACAAACTCAGAAGCGAATAATTGACGTGATCTCTCAGTCAACCTCCAAAAAGACCAAACCTTCGTGCGTTAGACCTTGAACAGTCTTAATTCGGCTTTACCTAGGAAACCCTTACAAATTTGCTTCTCGTGCTTTAATTTGAGGTGGACTTCTGCCCCTATATTTGTAACATTCAGCATTTCTAACGTAAATAATGTTGTCATCAATGTTTGGTTAATTTCTGCGATCAAGACCTTTCACATTTTACTTCGTCATTGATTTTTTTGATGTATCTATTTATCTTAATATTCTCGCCAAAACGTAGCCTTACTTTGGAACTATTTTCCTTGCCAGTTATTTTGTCCCTTCATTCTAACGGTGTTGATAGGAAACAAATTGAATAATTTTCATTTCACAATGTCTCGATCTCAGTAGTCCTTCCAATCTACTCGCTAGGATCAAGTGCAACCGAGTACTTGAGACCTCATTGAACCAAAACTAATTGTTTTCCTCCCTTCTTTAGTCCACTTACACAGATACTAGACTCAGTACCACCCTTGATGGAGAGCAGCGAAAAAACTCAAAATGTGTCAGACAATTCTGGGGGTGAAAAGCGAGAAGAGCTTGCCAGAATGGTCAGTCAGGGTTCGCGTCACGCTGATATTGCTGCTGCCGACGAAGCCATTGCTGAACAAAGGTTGCTCTCTCGCCTCGAAGCGCGTGATAACATGGAGCAGATGCTCTTGAATCAGCACGAGCAGGAATGCCAGATCGTCACTTGTCTCAGAGTGAGCTTACATAATTCTGTGAATACTTAAACTACTTTAAATTCTGAACAAAATTACCGACCTACCAGGTTCTTCATTTGTAGTGTATTTTCCTCGTTAATTTTTGGGAAACGGATGTGGCTGGGTTCCACATCTCTTGCGTTTGAGTAGATAAAGCAAAAAGAAAAAAACAACTGAACGTTTTCTACGTAATCGAATTTCATTAACCTGTTTTCATTGTTTCTGGTAGTAATAATTTGGGAATTATTCACCTTTTTAAAGTCGCTGCTCAACAGAAAATTGGGATTTTCATACGTATCTTACATGTTGGTTATAAAAAAAATGACTAATTGTCATCACTTTGGAATCGACTGCATTAACACGATTAAAAACTCATTCCGGTAGCCGTGGTAATTGATATTTCCTAAAATCTTCGCGATCGGTCATATTTGGTAGCCCATTTTCCTTCACACACTTTTCGTCTTCCGCGTAAAGTAGTCTAAAAGTTTTTTTCAACATGGACAGTTTATTTTGTTGCTTAAAGATTTGGCATTCCTTAAAATTTACCACTTTGATAACTGAGGAGGTCAAAATTATTTCGGATCATTCATCTTCAAGTGCAACATCTATTTGTTTGATTAAAATTCTCCCTATTTGCCTTTAATCAGGCTAATGCACAACTTTCCATTTGACTAATGACCAGTATTGTGACGCATTGGCGAAATCGCAGGAGCATAATAAACTATTCCAACCACCTTTGGTAGACTTCAGTTAGAGGTGTTTGCCTGGGATAAAATAAGAAAGTCAGTCTTGAGTAGGAAGAAGGGAGATTGGGAATTCAGCCTTGGTGACATTTATTATACTTTATGGAGTAAATGTTAGTTAAATTTTGAAAAGGAAAGCCGTCTCCTATTGTTTGCATGATTCATGCGCTACTAATCACAATTTTTCTGCGAGTTCATTTAGTGCCAATATCGGTCGCTGCATGCTAACCGAATTTGCCGCAAAGATGGTCACGAATTGAGGTTTTCTACCGGTGTAAAGCGTTTCTTTGCCTGTCGAAAGTGCAAAACCAGGACAATCACATTGGATCGCTATCCTAACTTTGCATGCATGTAAGTTTGTTTCCCTGTCTTTCATCTTTCCTCCTTGGCAATCTGTTTACCTGATGAGCCTCTTCATGTTGAGAAGCCATCCATTTTAATTATGTTTATAAAATTCTGCTCTGAAAATCGTCAAGTTATTTTGATTGACACCTGTTCGAGGTGTTGTAGTGGTCGGAAAGGGTGAAATTCTATCAAATCTGAGGTTCCTCGATGAGTTCCCAGCATTATTTCTCTGTATACTCATAAAATCATCTGCACTCTCCGGGAGCTCTTGGTAGTACTCTGCGATTTCAGTTTTCTCCTCTAAATTGAATGCCTTAATAAAGGAGCTCTCTTATCCGAGTGCTACCTCTTATGCATACTGCTAACGACCCATTTAGCTTCCACAACATACTCAATTCTTGCATTGTTTTTATTGTCCCTTACAATCCTACTTCGGGTAATTTTTTCGCACACTCTAAATACTAGGATCGTCTCTTCATTTCGAATAGGCCTACGATATGTCTAAATGAATTTCGACCGTTCAAATATTTGGGTTTGATATTAAGACCCGCTCACAGGGATGCTTTTTTTGTAATATCATGCAAATTATGCGTGGTTCAAGTCCAACCTGACTCAATTACAGTCGCTTTAATTTTATAGATAAATTGACCTATTTTAACCTGCTGTTTGTGGAATTCTACCTTTTTCTCACGTCTAACATCTAACGGACAAAAGAAGCATTCTTCGCTTTCGACTTCAAATACATTTAGATAATCCTGTGATGCTGCAATTCTTGTTGGAGGTAGAAATGCTTCGAGAGTAATGAAGTTTAACAATATATCCTTAACACCTTTACTTAGAGTTTTTTTCTTTCGTCTTGCCAAACGTATTTTTTTTATGCAGGTGCTCATGTAGATTCTTTTTTAGCGCTGTCTGAATGATCGCAAGCTATTTGGTGTCTGCCAACTTTAACTATGCAACCATTTGTCGCATTCACGCTTACTATTTCGTTGGTGTCAACATTTGTCCTTTTTGTCTTATTCCTCCAAATTCGTTGGCTTTTCGTTTGTATTGTGAATGGCTTGATTTGACCGTAGAAAACAGACTCAGTGAATGGCGTGTTATTTGCGTATATTTTGGCTTGATGGGCTATACCGTGTGGCCACATCTCACGCCAGGTAGTTTCTTCAAAGCCGAAGCCCCAGAGAAGATATGAAATCTTTTCGGCGGTCTTCGACCACCCGCATGCCAACACCAAACTATCACAGCGAATTCATCCTTAAGATGTGAAGTTTAAATTTTGAATTACTATTTTTTAGCAAGTGCGGTGAATCCCTATTTGAAAAAGCAGGTGCAATTGCTGTGAGTTACTGTTTGTCTTTCGTGCTGCAAAAGATTTGTTTTGAGTAATTTCGCTGTGTATTTTCTAGGGATGATGTAATTAGAGCTCCGCCGTACCTTTGTTAAGCCACCATGACCCAGTATTTCCTTTTTCAGGAGCGAAAAGGGCCAAAGCTGGCTGGTGAGAAATTACTCACCCGTGGAATCGAGGAAAAATATCTACCTTAAATATGGATCTTGAGTTTATTGGTGTGCATACAGGAGCTAACTACATCCCTTTTGTACTTGAACATTATTTAGCCAAAATTCACAATAAATTATTTTTTTATTCCAACTTTTTGGAGACTGTTTTTTGTTAATAATCAAGTTTGTTACACGCTTGGGTCTCGAGTTTTGGTGATGCGAAAGACAGCAATCTGCGTATCTCTCCAGAACGTTAATAGTCAGAGGATTTTGTTGTCCTCAGAGCCAATGATTGGATCCCAATATCCGTGGTCTTGGGAGTGTCAACGCCTGTCATTTGTTAATTTGGTAGGGCGGCGCTTCTTAGTTAACCAAATACACGGTGTAACATGTAGTTGCGGGACTGCACTAATTTACACATCTAACTCAGAATTAGTTTACAAACTTAAATCTTTAGGCTCCGACGATATTATCGGTCGCATCAGCAGGCATCAGTTCAAAATAGACGTATTCCTTGCATTGGTTGCGAACCTACTCGTCCTGTTTAGGTCAAAGTAAAAGATGCTTCCACCTTTGTCACAAGGCGAACTGAATGTCATGGCTACCCAATGGATAAGAAACGTGGCACAAGTCGATTGTTAATTTAGTTTTGCCAATTAAACAGTTGCCATTCTCAAAATATAGCGACCTTCTTGCTTATCTAAAGTAGACTACATACAATCTATCAAACAGTTCATCCAACATACTTGCCAATTCCTTGCATGCACCACAGACATGCAAGGCAAGGTTGCGCTTTTCACCAGCTCCCAGTTCCATTGGTCTTGCAGTATACTGTCTCTATTAGTTGATATTATACGAAATTCCACTTTATCTCGTTTTCAAGGTAGTCTTAAATATGCACTGTAAAATAAATGTTTCTAAGTTTGTTAATTGGTATAATGGCACG